GAATTAAACATTTGACCAACCAAGATGTTGACCCCCACTTTTAACACACTAATGGTGGTCAATTGTTATAAAATAAGACATTTCCTTGTGAAAACTCATTTGTTCTTCTGTAAATCACATAAGTCAAAAAATTACAACAAGCAGGTTTTAGTTAAACAACAACAGAATATTCTATAAATTTGTCATGTAGCACATTTTAACTATTATCTTCTAAAGTGAATCATACCCACCAACTCAGCTCTGTGACTACCCCCCTTGCCAGTTCAGAGGTGTTCACTTTACCTTCACACAAAGTTTTGTCAAACCCAAACTCAAAGGGGCTGGAAGAAAGTTCTCCTGACACGTTCCCAGCAGGAGGTTCTCCAGATCATCTGCAGGTGTTTGAAGAAGCTGACTAATCTAATCAATCCTATTTAAGCTGCTTCTCTAAGTCCTTGGGTGAACTTTATAAATGGCTGTGTATCTAATACCGTTTTATAATCTAAAAAACGTTTAATTTAATAACGTAAAGTTTATGGAAACAGGTGTCTGTTTGTGAGTTCAAAAAGGAAGTCAAACCTTTACTGCTTCCCTTATTTTCCTTACAACCTACATGGGCAGCATTGTTTCTGCCGCTCACACAGCGAAACTGTAAATCTTTATTAGAGTGTTCAAAAACAAAAAAACTAAAGACTGCAAAATTTGTCATAAAATTAAACAACCTTACCTTTACACAAATACCCCTCACTAAAAGTGTCAAAAATAATCCCACTGTTTGCCCGGCAGGCAGTGAAATATTTTATCATCAGGCAGAAAGCAAAGTGCTTTGCGCCACAGATTCCTTTTTGCCACTGGCTGTTTACAAGCAATCACAACAACCTCTGGAAGTGAGGGCGAGCAAAAGGACAAAAGGATAGAGGATGGCCATTTTGCAGACTTCATTAGAAGCACTGAAGCTAATGTGAAGAGACTGACCCAGGGAAAAACCACAAATAAGGTCACACCGAGTTAAAAAAAAAAAGGAAAAAGAAAAAACAGCTTCTATTACAGGGCTTTGGTGTTTTATTTACTCACATCAATGATGTCCGAGAGGTCATGGATGTAATATTTGAAGACGCAGCTGTTGGTGGCCTCCAGTGCCAGCAGGTACTCGTTCCTGGCCTTGATGGCCTTCAGCTTGTTCTCAGTGTACTTAGCTTGTCTCTGATAAAGAAAGAGAGAGATAGTAGAAAGGAGGGGAGTTTAAACAGCAGAGAAATCGAAGAACGCAGGAAGGACAGGGGTAGGGATAATAGGTGCTAAAGTGAAATAACTCAGTATTGATTGGGACTGGTAAGAAGTGTAGAATTGTATGGCTGTGACAAGCTCCAGCTGTAGCAGACATGGTTAGCAATAATCCAGTCGTGCACCCATAAATCATTTATGAGACACACACACAGGTCTGTGTGACAAAAGGTGAGGTACACCGAAGCATCTTTTATCTGTTCGACGCTTCGACGTGCCCTGCGTTGCCCCCCTCACCTTCTCCTTCATCTTCTCGATTTTCTTCACGCTGGAGCGTCGGACGACCTTCTCGTCGCTCTTGATGCTGGCCAGGGTGTCAGGGGAGCGCGGAGTCTGGCGATCTTCCTGTCGACTGCGTCCCATCTGCTTCTCCTCCTGCTTCTCCGCCTCCTTCAGCTTGGACTCGGCGTTGATGCTGTCAGTGTTGTACATGTGGTACGTCTTCATCACCTGGAAATGAAAAAGGGGATTTTCTAGTGAACATGTTTTCCCACACTGAGCCTTTTTTAAAATGCTTTTGGCTTCTTAAAGGGATCCCCGATTAGTTGTAACATTAGACTTTATTTGATAAACATATCTTTTAACAGTGAAATAAAGACTAAAAATACTGTAGGCTGTTTAGTTTTGTAAATTTTTAAACTGAAATTTTCAAAATATACAGTGGTTTGCAAAAGTATTCATAC